AAGGGATGCACTCATATTTATACATCTTGAAAAGGCAGGAGAAATCAATGCATAGGTAGCACATGATGTAAGCATCATATTCATAGGTAAAGGATCTTAAGTTCCTATTGATAATGGAACTCAGGAATAGGAACTCCTTCCTACACCTGTTTTCAAAAATGAAGAATAAAGCAATAAAGTAATAAAACAGGAAAGAAAACATGCATACATGCAGAGGAAGGGGCAGTGCTAAATTGCAAATCAATGTGCTAGAGTTACATATCAATAGGACTGATCTAATAAAGTAAAAACTTTGGCCTTATATCTCTAAATATCAATTTGATTTAGTTTATTCCATTTATCTAAGAACTGACTTAGATACAGTATCTCTTCAGCAGAATTCAGTTTAGAATTGCTAGGTTGAATTGATTTTAACAAGCTTTTATTTAAGTTTTAAGCTACTGCTAACCCTAGTTTTGAAAACTTAGCTTTAAGTGTATGTGTGTGACCAATGGCAATTATAGCTCTGTGACTGAAACTTGTTTTTCACAATTGCTGTGATCTTGTCCATATCTACAAAAAAGGCGGGGCCTCAACTGTGCTGTTACAGCCACAAGTTTGACTTTTTGGGCAACCCCCCCCCCCCCCCAGGACATCTCATGAGCACCTGCAGGTTTTCTCTGCTTTTCTCAAAAGGATAGTTTGGCCACCCACCCCTTCCTCTCCCGGAACAGATGCGGCTGGTTCAGCCGTTGCTAAAATCTTTGCAAACAGATGTAATTAGAACCACAAATCTCATTCCTAAGTCTAAAATGTGAGCAGGATGAGAAAGAAACACTCTTGGCTGGTGGAAGGGAGTGGGAAAGGGAATGCAAGCTTGCAAAGCAAAACAAGAACAACACAAAGACAGAGGGGAAAGTGCGGACTGGAACAGTTCGAGGTGGAGAAAGAGATACACAGGGATAAAAAGAGGAGAGTGTATGGCCTCATTTGTAAAACTGTTTCCTCATTGTAGGAAAGTAGATTCAGGTTAGGAATTAGGAGGAATCAGGAGATTCCCCAGGACGTAACCATTACACCTAGACTATGGCATCCAGTTTTGGTCACCACACTGTAAAAAAGATGTTGAGACTAGAAAAAGTACAGAGAAGAGCAACCAGGATAATTATTGGACTGGAGGCTAAAACATACAACGAACGGTTGCAGGAACTGGGCATGGCTTTGAGGGGATGCCACAGGGAGGAGGAAGGGGTCAAGCTATTTTCTAAAGTGCCTGTAGGCCAGACAAGGAATAATGGATGGAAACTGAACAAGGAGAGATTCAACCTGGAAATAAGGAGAAACTTTCTGACAGGGAGAACAATCAAACTAATGGAACAGCTTGCCCTTGGAAGTTGTGGGAGCACCATCACTTGAGACTTTCAAGAAAAGATTGGACTGCCATTTGTCAGAAATGGTGTGGGGTCTTCTGCTGGGGGGGGGGGGGGGTTGGACTAGATGACCTACAAGGTCCCTTCCAACTCTGATTATCTGTAATCTGTAAAAGGTCTCACTGTCTACCAGGAGATTAAATGCCTAGTGAAGTAGTTTCTTCCCCTTTGTTTTAGAGGTCTCCAAACAGTGACTTGAAACTAATAGAATAAACTATTTGTAGCTCAGGGTTGAGCTTGGTGCTCTCTGAGCTTGGTTGTTTTCTTGCAGATGTTGCAGATGACTTCTTCGGTGCCAAGTTGGGTATTGAAATGTCTGCAAGGAAATGACCAAACTTAGAGAGCAGCAAGGACTCCACACCTCCCTGGAACACTTTAGTGCAGTGGTTACCAGCCAGTGGGCCAGGGACCACTGGTGGTCCACAAAATTTTTTGGTGGTCCATAGAGAAATGTCACCCCCAAAGGACCCCCCCCCAAAGCAATTAATCCAGGTTGTGCAGGAATACAAGGCTACGCCGCTCACATGGCCCATGGGAACACAAAGCTTGCATCGCTTGCATTGCGAACAACATGAGGTAGTGACGGGATGGGGGAAAGGGCAGAGGGGGGGGGAACTTGCCCCAATTGCCCCGTGCGCCTCACCTGGTCACCGGGCTGCTTCTTTCCACTTCTTTCTTTTTCTGCTTTTGGCTGCGTGCAAGGAAAGTAGCAAAAGTCTTTCTTTCTCTCCTCCAAACTCCGCCAGAAATGAGTCTTTGGGACCCTACAAGGCATCCTGCTCCAAGAGGCTGCGTCAGTGCGACAAGTCTCACAAAGATTCATTTCTGGCAGAGTTTGGGGGAAAGAAAGAAAGACTTCTGCTGCTTCTGCTGCTTTCCTTGCATGTCTCTCTCTCTCTCTCCCCCTGAGAACGGAGCTGGAGACGGTATCCTGTGATCCCAAATAATGATCGATCAGTAGGAAAACAGGATGGGGAATTTTCCTGCAGACTTTTTTGGGGATTTTCCCAGGGTCCACGGGATTAAAAATTATGAGTTTGGTGGTCCCTGAGGTCCAAAAGGTTGGTGACCCCTGCTTTAATGGGTCCTATACCAAGCAAGGGGTGGTATTAGATGATTCCTGAAATCCCTTATAGTTTTATGATGATATGGTTTTCTGGCAGGAACATTCCTTGGTTCCAGACACTGTTTTAAAATGCTGCTCCTGGATATGACAAAGAGATCTGAAAATGCAGAGATTACAATTTCTAGGATCAAGTCCTAATGTTCCCACTTCTGCTTTTCTCTGAAGCTACCTAAACCACTGTGGAACTAACCAAATAAACACACCCTCTCCATAACATTTCATAGGTGGCAGGGTTGCTCAACATAGTTACAATGTCCATCATGGACTTGGATTGGATGTTTGATGCCCTGGAAACTACTTGAACTCCACACAGCCATCCGTCCTACTCGATTCTCTTTTTAACAGCTGCAGTTTTGCTTGTTGCATCCTTGTCCTGGAGTCCTGTGGATGAAGTTATCCCTCTTAAGTCACACATTTGATCCATGTTTTCTCTTATTTATTTTCCTGTATTTTCCTTCCTCTTGTAATTTTGGGGTTTTGACACTGCCTTATTATTTTTTGCTGTGTGGTCTCTGGGACACTGTCGGTTCTACTGGCGTTCTGCTTTCTTGGGCTCTCAAAGAATTTAAAATGATTGAATCCAGTGTGGCTCTCCTCTGCAGGCAATAAAATAATTGGCCAGTTCAGTAGTTCTCAAATGTCAAGGTTTTTTTCTTTTTATGTAAATCAAAATCGGGCATCATCTTTTGCTAGTTCCATAGTGTTGAATTCTTATGGCACAAATGTAAAATAGAATATTTTGGCTCTTTAAAAATCCCTGAACACAGTGGTGGGGTGGCCAAAAAGATCCAGACCTAGTGTGTGATCAATGCCATACTTCTGTTTTATGGGCAAGCAATGTGTCATACTAACATTAAAAGAATCCTGTGAGGTTTTGTGAAGGTTTTCTGTATCTCATTTCAGTGCTCCCCTCTGAGGCTTTCTAATGCCTTGCTGAAATCTGATGTCCAATTTCCACCTCCCTCCCCCCCCAAAAAAGTTTCTATTATTTTGTCTTATTCTCAGTATGATTGATAATTTCTTTTGAATTTCTCTTAGTGGAACATTTAAACCAGTGATAGCGAACCTATGGCACGCATTCCAGAAGTGGCACACAGAGCCATCTCTCCGGGCACGCCAGCCATTGCTCGTTGGTCTTCCGGTTTCCGGCAGTTGGCAGGCACACATGTGGGCGCCCCAGAAACCAGAAGAGCAGCTCCCCGGCGTGCATGTGCACACCAGGAAACTGAGCTTCCATTTTCTTGTGCATGCATGCACACCAGCCAGCTGGTCTTCATGCTCGCATGCGTGCCAGAAACCAGAAGACCAAGTGGCCTGCGCACATGCGTGCACTGAAACCGGAAGCTCAGCTCCCTGGCGTGCACTTGTGTGCTGGGGAGCTGCTCTTCTGGTTTCCAGTGCCCCTACGAGCTGCTCTTCTGGTTTCCGGTATTCCTCCGTGCGCGCACTCCCATTTTGGCACTCAGTGCCGAAAAGGTTCGCCAACACTGATTTAAACTGACTTAGCTCTTAGAAGGAGGAAAAAATCTTGCCGCAATCCTGTATACATACTGAAGCTTGTTTGGATGCCCACATTTTCCAATCATTAGTCTTAATGATTTCTATTGGGATTTAATGGACATACGGAAAACCAAGGATACTTTACTCAGTTGAAGAGATAATTGTAAAATAAAAGACAGATTGCACAATTAAATATTATTTCCTTCCAAGTAATCACTGGTTTTGATGAGTATGCTTAGAATTTTTATGTTATTTCAATATTCTAGCCTAATATCTATTCAGGGATCTCGTTCTTGCAAGGCCAAATTATAAAGGGAGGAACTTATTATCTCCTTTTCTTATACAAAAAAAAAAAAAAAAAATCACACAAGAAAGAAAAGCATAATGAAAACAGTAGCAGAGAGATGAAAACATAAGAACTTGTGATAGAATTCTCAATAAAAATAGAAAAGAGTCTATTTCAGGTTCACCAAAAGGAAATATTTCTTCACACAATATATAATGCATTAATTCAGTTTACTACCTCAGTAAACTGAAGTTGGCTTTGGTGTAGTTAAAGAGTGAAGACCTAAGAGTTAGCAATCCCATATTATGCTTTAGCCATGTTTGGCAATTTTCAAAAAACTGTCACTCTAAGGTGTCCCAAGTTTTTGTTGTTGTTTTGTTTGCACCTTAGGCCAACAAGTGAAAGATAATTGTTAAGCGCTTGAGCAATTAAGAAATAATACCCAATGTATCTGCTTTTTAGAGAATTCATTCAGAAAAATCAATCAAAGGGCTTACACGACAACACGTTCTAATAAATGCTGTGGATAGAACTGCACAATATTCTAACCTTTCATTTTATTTTAAATATAGGTGCACATTTCAGATAATTGTTAAATCTAGGATTTGTAAATTGCTGTGGAATTCTAGATTCTGTGATGGGCTGCAGTGATTTTTTTCTTCTTCAAATGTTTCCCCAGCTCTGTGTGGCATTGTGGCTACCATTTGGTTCCCTGTGAGTGCTCACCGTGAAACCATGATTATGAGCTTTGGATATTCCCTCTACACCGGCTGGATTGGATCGGCTCTTTGCCTCTTCGGTGGATGCATCATTGTTTGTTGTTCTGGTGATGCTCAAACATTTGGAGAGAACCGCTTCTACTATGCTTCTGGATCGAGCTCTCCCACCCACGCGAAGAGTGCCCACGTATAAGAGCTCCTGAAAGTTCCCAGGCCTTGCAGAAACTTTTTTTTTTGGCACAAGTGGAAGGGTTTACATTCAATTTTTGGTCTTCCATCTTCTTCCACCTTCCGTCTTCTAAGCTGCATCGGTTGTAGAAGATAGAAAGAAACAACCCGGTGTTTGTAACTCGTAAACACCCCATTTCTCTGAATAGAAATAGCAAATAAAGATCAAGCTAGGTGCAGACACAGTCTTCTTTGGTCAGGCTTTTTCGTTCATAATTCTGTCGAAATATTAAGCCTCTTTTTCTTTTTCCCTCCCTCCCTCCTACTAGGAACAGGATTAACACATATGTATCTGAATTGCCTGGAACTGATTTCGCAGAATGAGTTACCCCTTCCTTTTATCTCACTCAAGGCCATCTTATCTGGCAGTGCTTACCAAGATAGGTGAAAGAATCCCCTGTGTTCCAACTACAACAATGTTTTCTTTCCCTGAAGATTAAAGGATATCTCTTTGTTTTTTCAGTCTGAAAACAGAACAAGCACTATAAGGAAGATGACCATTTCAGTAACAGTGGTTTTTTTTTTTTTGTCTACATGCATCAGTATGAAGGAAATTAAAGAGATCTAATTGCAAGATAAATAACAAAAAATTGTATATATCTCCTTATATATATATGCAATGGGACCGATCCTAAATGTATTTTCTTCATCTCTTTTCTGCCAACTTGTATTTTTTTTACTTTTGTTTCAATTAATTTGTATTCTGACATAAACGATTGAACTATTGCCTAAATTTTTGTACTGTAATCAAATGCCAGTTCAAGTCATGTCCTATGAATACTGATGATAACGATGTCTTTTGTTCTGAAATGAAATACTGTACAATATACTGAAATAAATGTTGAAATTAATGAGTTTATATTCTTCTCATTTTGCTGCTTGGTATCTTCCCTTTCAAACTGTTCTAACCCAGTCATTCTACCGATTCAAAATGTTGGGTGCAATTTTTGGTACTGTTGTGGCTTCTAATGTAAATGGGGACATAGGCGTTTAGGAGGGTCAAAAAAATCAAGATGGCAGGTGTAACTGTGTAAAATCCTGCCCCTTTTACGTGTGCATGACACTGGTGTGCATAGAATAGGGATGGGGCTTTGACCATGCAGGCATCACTGATTGGAGAATATATGCCTTCCTCTGTTAAAAATGAATATTAATATAGTTTGATCTAGCGATTAAGACACTTTCCCCACAATGTGCCTAACTCATGGTCAGTTCATGGGTTTGCACGTGAAACCTAAATTAACTACCTAGGATGTTTTCTCAAAATATGGCTAGGTAAAATAATGTATGGGTTGTCTAGTTAGTGGTTTCTTGTGCCACCTGAAGCCTTTTTTAGAACTGGGTGAGTATAAAGAGAAGAGATAAAATAAAAATGTAAGGCTATCCCTATTCTTTGAGAGCTGGCCATATTTCCTGCCTAGTAGTTGATGGTTATACTCAGGTTATCATGAGCATGAGAAGCCAAGTGTATGCATGACTTGTCTAGTGAAGAAAGGGAAGGAAATATAGGACCTGTGAAAGAGAGAAAAAATGTGAGAGAAAAAAATGAGCCCCCCTCAGATCAAACCAGTAGATAACTAAGATTTGCTTGTAGACCATGGATTATTATCCTGGAAATGGGCCCTGAACCTGCGACTGGACTTCACATATTCAGTTTGAACTGCAGACAAGAGTTATCTAATGGCCGATCCTTAGTCTTGGTGCATCTGATCCTGTTGATTTCAATGGGCTTTGGGATCTCCATTTCAGCAGTGGCTCCAGATATTTGTTAGTTCAAAACACCACCACTTTGGCACTGAACATGTTAGTAGCAAACTGGCTTGGGAGTTAAGCAGACTTAGAACAAAATGTGTATTCTGTCACTCATTGTAATTTGTTATCTTAATTTCATATTGTTTTTCATTCCCTCACTATCTGACACAATGTTCACAGTGTGAACTCTAATTCCAGAGCATCTTGGCAGAACATTTCTGCTGATTACATCATAGGCTCTGGATACAGTTGCTTGTTGTATACCCCCCCCCAAAAAAATACAATAACCACTGCCATTGTAATATGTGGGCGCTATAAAGGAATGTGTAACACACAGCTGTGCAGCTTTGTGAAGACTGGCCCAGGATTGTGGCCTGTGTTGTTTTGGTGTATGCCACTTTCTGCTCAATGGGTCCCATTGAAAGACATGCAAAGGGTTTGAGCAGCTCAGCTGAGGACCAAATATGGCTGGAGAGCCAACACTGTAAAGATGCTTAGATTATGGCCATTCTATCTTTGATTATCCTAAAATTGTTCATAATATTTTGGATGGCAAGTGGCATGAGAAACTACAAAATTGGGATTGATTACAGATATAAATAAAATCAAGAACGCATGGAGTGCCTAGTTCTAAAGTGTGTATTCATGATGAATATTCTCTTATTGTGATTTCATGTTTCAGTTGCAGTTCTGCTTAGTGTTCTTCAAAACCTAATATGTTGTTTTATGTTTCCTACGTCCATGTCTAACTTCCATTCTATGTACATATGTATACCTATATCAAAAAGATGTTTGGTCAAATACTCAAGCTTAGGGATGGAACAACCCAACTGCAATAGGCTTCTGGTCTAGTAACCCACCCAAGCGATGTATCCCAACCCATAAGCGTATCACGTGCTTACCAGAAACATCTCAGGTGGTATTTCTCAGATTCCCCCCCCCCCCCAGTTCCTGCTCTCCTTTGAGAAAAATAGATTTCCCTGAAAGGGTCCCACCAGAGAAGGTGTGTTCTGCTTTGCATTGTTACAAGAAGAGGGGAAATAGGAGCCCCTAGAACCATGATGGTGAACCTATGGCATGCATGCCACAGGTGGCACATGGAGCCATTTGTGTGGGCACGCAAGCCCCAGCCAAACTTACCTGCACTGCACATGTGTGCACCTCCCAGCTGATTTTTGGCCCGGAAGTGATAAAACAGGCCCATTTTTCGGCCTCCAACGGCCTTAGAGGCTTCTCTTGAGCCCTCAGGAGGGCAAAAATGGCCTCCCCCGGGCTCTAGAGACCCTCCAGAGGCTGAAAACGGGTACTTCCGGTATTTCCGGAAGGCCCGTTTTTCGGCCTCCCGGACTGCAGAGGCCTCCCTTGAGTCTCAGGGAGGCCGAAAAAGGCCTCAAACAGGCCGAAAATCAGCTGGGAGGCACACACATGTGCAATGCAAGTAAGGGGGTGGGGGTCTTGTGCGTGCATGCAGGGGGGGGCAGGCCGCATTGCCTTCTGGGTGTTGGTACACGAGCGTGAGCGAGTGAGCAATTTTTGGCATGGGAGCCCAAAAAGGTTAGCCACCACAGCCCTAGAAGCTGATATTCAACAGTCAGTTGGAATATCACAGAGATTACATTGTCACTGGATACTGTAAATAGGGAAATAGGCCTCAGGTAACAAGTACAGCAGCTGATCTTGAATCTATCACCATCTCAAATGAATTTTGAATTGTGTATTTCAAAAGAGCACAACACACTGTAAGTTGCATACCGTTTCTTGGAGATGGGTGGGATAAAAATAAGTAAATATAAAGAAAGAAAGAAA